AAAAAAATAAATAAACGAGAACATATTAGAAGTGGATATTTGGATAATTGTGTTAGGTAATTTATTAGTTATTGGTTCATTTTATCATGAATAACATGATAAGGTAGGAATTAAACTGCTTATGTAAAAGCATGAAAATGGTTTGCATGATTTTGCATAAGGTTGCTTTGTATTGAGTTAATAGCTATATAAGCTGATGTGTGGAAGCTTGCTTGGCATGAAAACATAAAGAAAACTTGAGTTTCTTTTGAAAGATTGAAAAATAAATTAGAAAATATAGGAGAGAGAAAAAGAATGTAATCTGAAGATCATTTCCAAGAGTTGAAAGTATTATCTTGGTGAATTAATGGTGCCTTCTTGAGAAACTTCCTGATTGGATAAGTTTCATGTATTTCTCTAACTATTTTTCTTTGTTATCTATGCTAAGATTTTTCTTACTTGGCTTGAAAGGCTTTCGGTTTTATTTTCCTTCGTCGAGCAAATGTACTCAAATTCAAATAAGCGCTAGACAGCATCTCTTATTTTTATGTTCACAAAAAAGATTGTGACTTTTTTTCTTAGTGATCAGATACTCTCTCATCTCCTCTGGATGTAAGTTTCCTTGAGATGAACAGCATAATTTTTGCATTCTATTTTTATGGTGCTTCCCCTCTTTTGTGGCTATTTTGTGATTTATTATACTTGCTACTGGGTTAAAGCTTCTGTCATCATGTTGAAATCCATTGAATGTTCAAAGCTCTACCAAAAGAAAAAAGCTAAAAGAGCATTTATAATAATCAAGATAAGACGGACATACCTGCTCTTGTTTCTCATGGAATTCTTCAATAAATGCACGCTTTTTCAATGCAAAATGTAGATAAACTACTTGTGATGCTTTCTTCAGCAGAACCCATTTAAACTGCCACATGTAAACATAGAAATTATTATGATTGAGAAGTTGACATATAAAAATAATGTATAACCCTGACAGTCATGTAAACCCACACAGCCCTTACAGTAAAAATAATTAAAACCAACAAAAACAACACAATGGATATAAAAATGGTAATTGGAAAGTACTAATATTAAATGTTTGAGTTCCAACTTAGACCAAGCAAAGCTGTTACTCTTACTAATTTCAAAAATTAGCAGTAGAAGGCCAATGTGTAACATGAACGGCCACAATTAGTTATGACGGCTGCAACAGGAGAATATACATTCCACCAAAAGAAACAATAAGATGCGTTACTCCTGCACCTTACGAAGATACAAGTTAATGCATCCAACATAAGAAGTGTACCCAGAGCATGAAACTTCGTTAAGGGGAGGGGTTGTTGAACAGGGGAGAAGCATCAAGCTTTCAGCAAAAAAATAATAAAATGTACTCTTAGTCACCAGCACATCGGAATAAGACTATAAATTCTATATAAAATTTGCAGAGAAAAACACAGCAAACATTTCCAATATAGGCAAACGCCATAAAAGAACCATGCAACTAGCAAGCGAACTTCTAGAGGACAAGTCATATAAAATTTGCGTTACGTGATTTCATTCTTCTAGCTCTCCAGCTAACAGAACTAGGATGAGGCAGCGAAAGTGCCAAATCTGCCAGTATAAGAACTTAATAATTACTATATTCGACCTTATCAACACCCAACACCAGTTCCAATCGAACTTCTGAGAACAATAAACCTTCCCGATAAAAGCTGAATTAAAGCAAAAAACAGTAATATGACGCATTAATCTACAATTGATCAAAACAACAAAATGTAATCCAACGTTACCAATTACAACCTTACCCGCACCAAAATCACTAACACTCTCGATCATAAGAACAAAAGAAAGGGCTGATGAGTCAAAACACATCATTTCCCCGAATTTGACTGAGTCGAAATAACATAACTTGTAGAAATCAAATCAAAAGTACGAAAGACTAAGCTGATAAGCGGGTGATGCACCTGCTTGTACTGGAACTCGAATGTGTAGGAAAGAAGCATGGGAGTGATGTCGCTGGCATCCGGCCGTGAGACCGAGATGATGGTCGCTTTGGGCAATTCGTCAAAAATCCACGCCCGGTCCGGTGTAAACTCCTGTTGGAGCAACTGCGAGGACGACGTCGCCGGCTCAGACCGCACTTTCACGTAACGATGGACATCCTCCATGGTTGACTGATCCGACATGTCTTCTGAAAGTGTTGCCGGGGAATTTCTACTCCCGGACTGAAATTTCGGGTCTAGGGCTTCCAGATGATGGAGAAAGATAAAGGGGAGTATATGCGGAGGATTCAAATTCGATTCTTCGTCCAGACCAAAAAAGATGAAAACTGATCGCTGCAAAATTTGTTCTTCGGCTTTTATAGACGGTAGACGCCGCTGGAACCCGGAGAGGTAATCGATTCCCGTTCCGCTTGGAAACTCTTGACTGCAAGTTCGCGGGCTTGGAGGGATGTGTTACGGTGGGTCGACAAGTGGAGCCGACTCAGAGGGTTGAGTTCTAGCTTTATTAATTTATTAAGCTTAGAGGTTTAATTGAATGCGTTTAAATCAAGGTTATATTTTTTTATTGAATAGAGAAAATAGTTTTAGTTTAAAAAGTTGTTACTGATGATGTGTGCCAGAATCATAGCCCGCCTTGGAGTAATGAATTATCATCATTAATGTTGTACGTGAATCTAA